TTTTGAATTGGGACGAGGAGTCTTGAATTGAAACACCCAATTCGACCAATTAGGGCCGAAATATGCAGGGTGTCGACTGAAAGAATCTCGCATGGGTTCTGGAGAATGGTGTCAAATCGATGCGATTGGACACTTGGGTTCGCTTTCTAGAGTCTTGAGGATTGTGTAGAAACAAAGAAATCGGCTCGAGCATGTCTGAGATGGATTTCCCAAATTTTGATTTCACGTCGCCGGATTCTGGGCTCACATCGCCGGATTCTGGGAAATTTAAATTTTCCGACGGCGGGAAAAATACAAACGACGAATTCACGCAATGGGGTTGAATGGAGGAGGATCATGGATGCCTGGCGAACACGATTCACGCAATCAAGTGTTGTGGAACAACGAGATTCACCAACTCGCTGATTTGGGGAGTTCGTTAGAGTTCAACTTTCCGGCCCACAGAGGGCTGCATTTGCGATCCTTTTTGGGTGGAGTTTAATGGTGTTTATGGATGCATGGGTGAGCCAGTTTTGAGGGCAAAGCTTTTTAAAGAAGGGGGTCTGATATGATACTAAATTTTCCCTTAAACATGAATCAAATGCTTGCCAAAAGATCAATCCACGTTGGAAGGAAAAATGGCTAGAAAGCCTGGAATGGGTTGCTTACGTACGCTGGAAGGCAGAATCTTGCGGTTGAAGCAACCAAATTGTATTTCCTTTTCAAGTTTGGATTCTTGTTTCCTTATTTTTTTAAGAGTCAGATCTGGTTCCTAGTTAGTTTAGAAGTCGAATTAGGATTATGGTTGTCTATTTAAAGGGCCATCAGGAAGAAACTTGAGGGCATACACTTAGCGAGACCCAACAACCGAGCGATCAGGAGGACGAGAAACAACAACCCATGTCTGATTAGCAAGAAAAGCAGCAATCTCCTCAATCATAGCTTTGTTCTAGTTCGGATCATCCTTAGCCTGGGAGTATCGAGTAGGAACTGCAAGAGCATCAACACCATAAGAAAAAAAATCATCATGACGAGGAGGAGGTACCCCATGGTTGGAGCGCATCGAGCGACGAACTGGTGGTGGTGGCGGAGGCGGTCGTGTAGACGGTGGCAGAGACGGCGGTGGTGACAGCATAGGGAGGTGGCGGGGCCGCACGGGGCAGCTGGTCGAAGCCATCATCAATATCATCATCAGTGTCAGAAAAGGATGGAAGAGCGAAAGAGGTATCAAACAAAGTAGTGTTGGTAGAAGATGAAGAGTAGAACATTAGATTTTTTTATAAAAACCACGTTACAGGCTGTACGAATGCGACAAAGAGCTGGATCATAGCAGAGATAACCCTTAGAAACATCATTATAGCCAAGAAAGACACGAGTGGTTTTAGAGGACAATTCGACCAATTGGGATGAGGAGTCTTGAATTGGGAAGAGGAGTCTTGCATTGAAACGCCCAATTCGACCAATTAGGATCGAAATATGCAGGGTGTCGACCGAAAGAACCCTGCATGGGTTCTGGAGATTGGTATCAAATCGATGCAATTGGACACTTGGATTCGCTTTCCGGAGTCTTGAGGATTGTGTAGAAACAAAGAAATCGACTCGAGCATGTCTGAGATGGATTTCCCAAATTTTGATTTCGCATCGCCGGATTCTGGGCTCACATCGCCGGATTCTGGGAAATTTAAATTTTGCGACGGCGGAAAAAATACAAACGACGAATTCATGCAATGGGGTTGAATGGAGGAGGATCCTGGATGCCTGTTGAACACGATTCACGCAATCAAGTGTTGTGGAACAACGAGATTCGCCAACTCGCTGATTTGGGGAGTTCATTAAAGTTCAACTTTCCGGCCCACAAAGGGCTGCATTTGCGATCCTTTTTGGGTGGAGTTTAATGGTGTTTTTGGATGCAGGGGTAAGCCAGTTTTGAGGGCAAAGCTTTTTAAACAAGGGGGCCTGATATGATACTAAATTATCCCTTAAACATGAATCAAATGCTTGCCAAAAGATCAATGCACGTTGGAAGGAAAAATGGAAGAATTTGGCTAAGAGTTCATATTGTTTCATGGTGCTTACTTTGTAGGTTTATATCTTACATCTAGGTTGGTGGAAATACAAGGGAAGGGTTCAGATTTGAATTTCAAGTGCTTTTCTCCATGATTGAAGTCCTGGTTGAGAAAGAACGAGCCATTGAAGCCACTTTCTCGATGCCTCAACTGCTATGTTGAAACTGGAAATCTGCCTTTGGAAGCTTATTCAAAGCAGATGGAGCATTGTCGATGGAAGAAGGGAGCTGGAACTTTAAGTTTGATTCCTGGAGAAGAAACGACGGAAGCCTGTTTGGGTCGAATCCCTCTGGAAGGCCTCGATCAGGAGCCTCAAAATGGCTAGAAAGCCTGGAATGGGTTGCTTACGCTGGAAGGCAGAATCTTACGGTTGAAGCAACCGAATTGTATTTCCTTTTCAAGTTTGGATTCTTGTTTTCTTATTTGTTTAAGAGTCAGATCTGGTTCCTAGTTAGTTTAGAAGTCGAATTAGGATTATGGCTGTCTATTTAAAGGGCTTGAAGCCTTGTGTAAGATGTGGCTATTGTTTTTGAATGAAACGTGACCTTGTCACCGGAATCCTTTCGTGTAGGTGTGTTCCAGCGACGAAAGCTGCTTCCTATTGATTGAAAATCACCTCAATCTTGGCCGATCTTCGACCTAAACCAATCGAGCCTCTTCCTAAGTGCGAAGTTGCACCTTTGGTCCGTTTTTCGTATTAAGTTTGTTCAAGTTGGTTTGAGCTGCGTACTTTGGCTCAAACAAACACAAGGATTACCAGGGGTATCCAACCTAATTCGATCCGGTCGAAGCGATTTGAAACAAACTTTAGCATTTATTAATATCTCTTTTCTTCTGCTTTTGATTGGGAAGACAATTGAACCCGAATCTATGATTTTGACGAGTGTTATATTGTGAGCAAGCTTTATCCGCTTTTATAGTTGGCAGGTTGGACTAAGTGTTAATTTGTTAAAAAATTGTTCAAAGCGAGTTGAACACATTGTTGACCAGTTTTAGATCGAAAGTAAGTTTTGTACGCTTTAATGTTTTTTTATTTCTCATTTTCCTTTTCGTTGAGAATGACAATTGAACTCTGACCCATTGTTGACGCGTTTCATATCGAGACCGAGTTTTATCTGCTTTTGTAATTGACAGGTTGGGTAAATTCTGAATTTGTTAAAACTAGGTCGACCCGGTCAAAGCGAGTTGAACGCAGTGTTGAGAGTTTGCGGTCATGAGAGAGTTTTGTCCGCTTTAAAAAAATTATCTTTTTCCTTTTGGTTGAGAATGACAATTGAGTCCAAACGCATGGGTCTACAATCTAATTCGACCCGACCAAAGCCACTTGAACCCGATTTTACACGTTTTCGTCGGGAGTGAGTTTTATCTGTTTTTGTAATTGGCGTGTTGTGTCAGGTGTGAATTTGTCCAAAACTCTGTCCAACCAGGTCTAATCGAGTTGGACTTTGTGTTGACGAGTTTTGAGTCGGTAGCGAGTTTTAGCTTTAGTGTTTTTCATTTCGCTTTTTCCTATTGTTTAAGACAATTGAACCTAAATACATGGGTATCTAACCTAATTTGACCCGATCCATGCGAATTGAACCTCCTCAAACCTACAATCAGACCAAATTTTCATAAAAGAGAACCACGACTACCTCAAACAAACAAAAAAACCAAAAGAGTAGACTATGTTTGGCCCGAATTTTATAAGTTTTATGTTTCAAAAGTTGAAACCAAGCCAAACACCCCTAAATTTTCGCTTTTAAAAAAACTGAAGTTTTTCGTAACTTAATGCCTAAGCTTGGCCCGGCTTTTAGAAGTGCTTTTCGGTTTCAAAAGCTGAAGCATGGCCAAACACCTCTAAAATTTCGGCTGCGCTTTTGTATAACATAAAAGCAGAAGCTCCGATTTGGAACTTCTGCGAAAAGCTGTTTTGAAAATACAAAATTATCCTTACCATATTTTAATTTTATTACATTTATATCATTTTAAAAATAAATTATAAAATCATATTATTTAATATAAAAGAAGTCTAGAAGATCCATTTTGAATACATTTTATTGTTTATAATTATTATTCATAGTTTATATTATAAGTCCTTTATAGTCATTTTACACAACCTCTCATATTAAAAAGCACTTCTAATAGTTTTTGCAACCAAACACTCAACTACTTTTTTTGAAAACTACTTCTCTAAAAGCTCAAACCAAAAGTTGCTTCTCCAAAAGCTACAGCAGGGCCAAACTGAGCCAATAGCATAGAAGCTTCGATTTGAAAATACAAAATTGTACTTACCATATATTATTCTTTTTCTAGAAAACATAAAAAATTTATTTATATCATTATAAAAAAATTGAAAAAAATAGTAGTATTTAATATGAAATAAATCTAACGCGATCCATTTTAAATACTTTTTTAGTTTTAGATTTGTATTCATATTTTATGTTAGAAATCTTTTTAATCATTTTCCATTACCTCTTATATTAGAAAGTAATTCTGACAGTTTTTAAGATAAACACTCAACAGTTTTTTTAAATACTTCTTGAAAAGATCTAGAGAAACTGCTTCATTTGCAAAAGTTACAGCAGAATCAATTACTAGCCATAGGCGTCATGAAAGAAGTTTAAATATGAATAATCTATTTGACGACACTTCTACCTTATGCAAGTTCATCGATCATATACTATTATAAATTAAAAAACCTATGAATATAATGATTAAGAATGAAATAAGATTACTTTCACTTTAGGGTCAACATTAAAACTATTACTCTTTAAAATATTTTTTTTTCTAATACGCAAAGCGATAACGTGCGGGCTTTTGCTAGTATATATATTAAAAAAAAATAGTCAATCAAATGACAATAAAACATAAAACAAGGGTTTAAAGTGTAACCTTTAAACATGAGAACAATGTACTTGGAGAGTAGGCTTAACCAAATACTACATCGCCAACATATATAGTTAATGAAATTGATCATAAACTAGAGAATAGGAAGGACAAGCAAAAACACGCACAACCTCGATCCCTCTCCACCTTCTCACCCGCCAACTGCTCGACGAAATTCCCCACAGAAGCCCCTGTCCCGGCAAACGCAGTCGCCAGCAGCGGCACCAGCTGCTTAATCTCAGCCCTGAACTTCCGTGGCGGCTGACCCTTCCGCCCCTGAACTGACGACCCACCACCATCACCAATCCCGTAACAGCCAACTCTACATTCCCCACTACGATACGCCATCATCGCCGACAAGATCTCAAAACCCCTTTCCTTAAAATGAGACTTCACAAGCGATTCGAATCCCTTGGGCGGCCTCCGCAGCAGGCACAGCATCGTCTTGCAGCTCAGAACGAAGGTATCCTCGCTGTACACATTCGACATTTTGTCGCCGGAGAACATCCTGGGCAAAACCCCCAAAGTCGGCTCGTTGTAGTACGGCCTCTCGTTCAGCACGAGACCCTGAATCGAGATCAGGAGTTGGAGGATCGTCGAATCGCCCGGATTCCACTTCTCGGTCCGATTCCCGACCCACGTGTTGATTAAGCTCAGGCAGACACGCCCGTTTGCGTACAGGTTCGGGTTCATCCGAAACCCGAACGACCTGTAGCGGACCCACGGCGGCGAATTAGGGTAGTCGTGCGGGAATCGAATGTCGAAGAAGTAGAGGCCGTCGTGGTACGGCGTCCCCTGGCTCCCGGCGATGGCCGCGGTCAGGAGATCGATCCTGTTCTCGTAGACCCGAACCCAAATCGAGTCCGGCAGGTGCTTCTCCAGGATCCTCCATTCTCGCATAATCTGCTTGTGCGTGTCGGCGGAGATGTTCGGAGAGCAAATCGCCTTGTTCTGGTGCTTGGTCAAATAGGAGTGTTCGGATGCGTCCGCCGCCACGTCGAATCGCGGGAAGGCGCCGCCGTCACTGGACATTGTCGGGGAATTGGGTGGGGGATTTTGGGGAACTCGAAGAGCGTGAAGGTACCTATGTAATTACGACTGGCAGTGAGGTGAAGAGGAGTCGTCGGAGAAATTCGCGTCGTCTTTTGTGTATAAGTAGGATGATGATAGAAGAGAGCACCTAATCTTTCGATGATTAGGAATTACAGTTGGTTAAGGAATGGCGGTGATAAGAGGGCAATATTTTCTAACCGGTTTAAATCGTTCTGCTTCTCCGTGTTTAGGCATTAGAATTTCTTTCACCTTGTTTTGCTTATATGTTTTTTATTTGCTGTCAAAATTGAACCGGACATCGATTCTGATTAGTAGGAGGTTCAAGATTTATCGGATAATCAGTAGTTAACCGGTACTAAAATTTTAATAACCGAAATTACCTTATCTGTTAGAAACTCAAGGTGACTAATTTTTCCCCATTAATATTGACGGGGCATATCTCTTTTGTTTTAAATTCTAATTTCATTTTTTTACACAGATAAATCTGATTAATTGTACTATTCAAAGTATACTATGCGGTATAGAAGTGTATCATGGTGGTATGAACAAAGTAGAGTGTGAATGGTTGCATACATGATAGCATAATTACTTAGGGTGGTAATGCTTCATTCGCGATCATAGACTTCTCAGTCATGTCTATGGCCCTTCTCGTAACACGAAATGACCTTCTCATATTTAGTATTTTCCAATCGGGTCGAGGGCTTCTTGTCTCGCATCCATGCCCCTTCTCGTGAAGCAGCATGAACCTCTTAGACTTAGTCATTTTTTTATCTCCTTTGAGAGATGCTTCTTGCGTTGTCTGGCCTCTTGACTTGTAACCACACCATGTGCTCTTCGTTGCCACCATGGCTCATGTAATTCACAGCGGGACTACTTCCTCTCGTCGTTGGTCCCTTCGTTGAGATGTCTTGTACTTCTAGATTGTAGACGGAAATGTCCCTATTTGTGAAGCGACACGTGTTTCTAGATTCTAGACGGACATGGCCCTCTTCATGAGGCGGCACATGTCTCTAGATTCTAGACGGACATGACTCTCTTCTTGAGGCGGCACATCCTTCCTAGAGTTAGAATATTTTTATACACTGGAGGAGCCATGATCACGTGACTTAAAGGGACAAAGACTCCTTCTCACCTCCATGATGTCTTCTTAAGACGACATGTGCTTCTATATTCTAGATGGGCATGACCCTCCTCATTGAAGCGGCACATCCTTCCCAGACTTAGAATATTTTTATACAATTTTGTGGCACGACATGACCTCATACAAGATGCCCATGACCCTCATTGAATCATGTTCAAGCTCACTATGACTTAGTGATCGTTTGGTTTTGGTGATAGTTAAATTGATGCATTGTTATCAATGCATGCATAATAATATGCATGTATATAAGAAAATTGGTGTATTGTAGTTTACATCATTTGGTTTCTGTGATAGTTATTCAAATATTGTAATAAGTTATATTGCTTTTGGGATGAAATGTCACTTTTGCCCTTTGTTTTTAATATTAAAAAAGCAACACACATAAAAAGGTAGGGACATAGTTGGAACAAAACAAAACCTAACAATCGCTACCAAACAATCTCAACCAGTGATAGTTTGTGTCAAATCAAGCAAACAATGTGTTATAAACGCGCTGCTACGGATCGGAAATCGCCGGGATCGATAAAGCAAGAATACGAAAGTGAGAATCGAAAACGCAGACACACGATTTACGTGGTTCACTAAATCTAATCCAATCAACACAATGCATGTAATTATTGTGCAGAAAATTCAAAAAAAAAAAGTATTATGGACAATGCGTGTATTGTAACTATCACAACCAAACTATCACCAAAACCAAACGATCCTAATGGTGATTTGGGCTCAAAATCAATTCCGGCGTCGCGAACAAGGTTTTCTAGATCTGGGAATACCTTCCCACGCGCTTGTTTTGAATGTGGATTCTACCTTTTCCTGGGTCACAATTTGGGATCGAACTGGAGGGAGAAGGGTCACGATTTTGAGGGGGCTAATGTTGAATTCTGGAGAGATGGAGGATTACAAGCTGGCAGCGGATATGGGTAACAAGGCGAAGATGATTCTTACCGTCGCGACTCTGGTTCTTTCGGTTAACGCCGAACTAGACAATTTTTTTAAATCTATAATTAGAGTAGATTATTTTGCTGACTGGACGTCTTTTTCAACCTTTGTCAACCCAATCAGCACTCCCGTTGGCCACGTCATTATAAATCTGACGGCATTAATGGAGTTTGACGGAGATTGGCAATCGTGATTAATGGTGAAACGATCATAAAATTAGTGGCTAATATGAAAGAAAAATAAATTGGGTGGAAAACGTGAAATATTTATAAAAAAAAATCAATTTTCTACGGTAAAGAAAGAAGAAATATATCAGGCTGATGAGTCAGCAGTATAAATGAGAGAGAAGATATCAGGGCCCCACGCCCTTTTCGTCCCTATCATCCCTTCAATCCAATCAAAACGTCCGTCTTTTTCACTTCGCGATTTCTTCTCCGTCTTCTTCTTCTCCCTCCTCCTCTGCCTCCAAAACCAAAAGTGGCGAAAAGCAAAATTTTCCCTCCCACCGCCTCTGTGCAATTTATGCACATTTCTCTCTAACCGTCGCCTTTCCCCTTTCACTTCCTCTTCCGCGACGGTTGCTCCGACGAGCGACGACGTCCTCTTTCCCTCGGTTCGTTCGTCAACTAATATTCCCTCCAAGTTGCCGGCGCCGAGTTGATCGGTGCAGCGAGACAACAGATCACGCGATCGTTTCCCAAATCCAGTTCTCTTTCCGTTTCCTCTCGAAGCTTCCTCCCTCTCTCGGCCAGTTTCTCGTCCAGGTAACCACCACCACCCTCTCTCTCTCTGTTTCAGAGCTTGATTGGTTACGGTTCTTGAACTATGCACTCCATCTGTTCGTAAGCTATGTCCAAGATTGTGAGTCTTTCCGCGCTTGTTCGAACAAGGTCTTTGTAGAAGACGGAAGGATTATGTGCATCCTTTTGATCCATTGACGGCTGCGATTTTGGCATATGCACTGAATCTTGTTTGTGTGCGTTGTTTGTTTTGGAAGCCTGGACTGGTTTTCTAAGCCGCATTTTATCGAGCAGGTGGGGGGGAAATATGGTTCAGTCTCTCAAGATCACCATCGAGTTCGCGGACGAAACCGAAACCGAAATCTTTGATAGACTCATGGAATGCGTGCCTTCAGTAGGGCTTCAGGATCTGCGGGTTCTCGGTTGCTCTGGATTCATGGATGAGTCTCATCACTCGCAGACTGCTTTCGAATCGATCTCCACTTGTGCCGAGTCGCTGGAGAAACTGCAGCTGGAAGAATTCAAGTTTTCAGTAACGGCATTTGGGCGGGAGTCCTGGTCTAGTTTCAGAGTACTCAGAGAATTGGTTTTGGACGGGGTCTGCTTTGATTTCATTGGCGAGGAGGAAATCGACCCTTTTGCTGGGTTCCCAGCGTTGAAGCAGTTGAGCCTGAGTTCTTGCTTCCGCCATATTCACCGGGATGACGACCCTCTTGTTGATACTGCCGTCTTGGGAGTAAACGGACACCAGTTGCTGACTCTGGAAATAAACAAACCAATTGGTTTCTCCGAGATCACAGTTTCAGCTGCCAAGCTCACATCATTTACTTTTAAGTTCGAGATTCTCGATTCTTATCCAATAACAGAAGTCTCCTTGGACGCTCCATCCTTAGAGCATGCAGCTGTCAACTTGAAGGGATACAAAGATTCGACTGTTGACGAGATTAAGGAAAACGTACAGAATGGGTATGCAGTGTTAATCCATGGTCTGCGTCGAGCGGAATCTCTTATCTTCAAATTTGGTACCACCACGGTAAGCTCGCTGGTAATAACTATATATGTGCATCAACTCATATCATATCTTACTGCTACATGGCATTTATCTAAGTTGTTGGTCACTTGGTCTATGCCTCTATGGTCTTTTCGCCATTGCACCTGTTTATGGAAGTTGTTCTTGGTCTTTGATATATGTTACGTGGGTTGAAAGACAAGCTTATTCTCTTCATGTTGTTTGGGTTTACGCTCTGGTTTTAGGCATTCTGGAGTGCTTGTCAGCTGTTGAGAGGTCGACCTTCCCCTTTTCGAAGATTGAAGTCCTTGACTTTGCGTCATAAGGAAGACAGGGCCGTGATAACTGATCATCATCAGGATGTGATTGCTTACTTCTTCGGCAGGTCTGCTCCAAGAATTTACTATGGCGATCGAGTTACTGAGGTGGGTCCATCCGTCTAACGAAACCATGCTCTGTCTTTTTGAACTCGATATGGAATGTTGGTTTTAAATGTATGGGACAATGTGACACTAGATTGTGAATTTCTGATGGCTACTACAGGCTACATGCATTCCTTTTTCTCATCACCGTTATCTTCCTTGATAATGTTCCTTTGATGGTGAACTAAACTCGATTCATTTTCTTCATGCAGATTACTAAGCCATGATTCCTGCACCATCCCTAGTACTTGAACGTTTTGCAAGCTGAAAGTCTGATTGATCCTGTGAGCTCTGAGAAAACAGAGGATGACGAATTTGTTTCCTGTACTTATACTGATTGGGAAACTAGGGGGGATTTGTTGTTAATGCTAGACTTTGTTGTTGTGTAACTCATTGATGTAGTGTTTCATGGTGTCCGTTTTCGATCTGTGATGGTCTTACAGTGGGGACTATAGTGGGAAATGAGTGACTACAGCTACAACATTGAACCTTGGTGGTCTCTCCTTTTTGTGTAGTTTTCATGGTAAAGGAAACCGTACCGGACATCATATCGGATTCCTTTCTGGTAGGGTATTTTGCGGTACGACCGTGGTTCAACCGTTTCATACCGGTAAATACCGTTTTTGTAATAATAAAATATATTTTTTGTCAAAAAACCGTGCCGCCAAAATCAGGGTATCGTCTCGGAGTAATACCGGATATATCAGAATACACCGGATAATAAATGAATAAATACAAGTAGTTAGCAAATTAATAGAAAAAGAAATTTTAAATAATAATTATATTTTATAAAAAACGTTCCTATCATTTAATAGATTAATACGCGTGCACTTAACCCTTTCCCCATCTACCATCTTCCGTTCTTCCTCCCATCTCTCCCCCCCCCCCCCCCCCCCTCTCTCTCTCATATCGTCGTCGCTCCCGATTCCACCACCATCGCCTTCCTCTCCCTCACCGGCCTCGCCTTCCCACCACCGCCACCGAATCCGGGGAGGTACAGGCAGAGCGCGCCACATTTGAATTCGTCTTCGTCGAGATCCACCTCGTGTTTCTTCTTCCTCGTCATCGGCGAGATCGTCCTCGAGGAAGAATTGGTGTCGAAATCGGTGGTCGATTCGTCCGGATTCTTGAACCACATGTCGAGCTCGTCGACGGCGCTCGATCTCCCTTCGGCGCACGACTTGCTCCGCCGCATGTGAATCTCCTGTTCCAGCGCTCGATCTCTCCTAATTGATCTCCCTTTGGCAATTTTCAGTATTCGAACGGTGACGTTTTCCTTCCAATGAGCCTACCGCCGGTTAGACAAAAACCGGGCGGTTTTTTCGTTTGTACCGATTAAGTCGGAAAAACCGGCCGGTACGATATTTTGAAGCAAACCAGCCTACCGTATCGTTATTGGTCCGATTTCCGGTTTTACCGGTTCAACCGGCCGGTACGATCCGGTTTCCTTTACCATGGTAGTTTTACAGTGAGCTACCGTGGGAAATGAATGAACTTTTCATAGGTCATATCAGGTTTGTTGATGGGAGTTATTTTAGTGAGATTTTAGTTTGGTGCGAAATCAGAAAAGAAATATTATGGTTGTGAGTTGTAATGTGGGATAGATAGATACATCAATTTGATTAATGGGTGACGTGGAATAGTTGTTTGTTTCTGATAAATAATTTGAATTTGGCGCGAAATTTTCTATTAATATATATGGATTGTAATGTGAAATAGTTTGATTGATTACTTTTCGTCATTGTATTTTCAATGAAGTCCTGTTTGGTTAGTGGAGGATCCATAATGCTCTTCTGTCACATGCAGCCTATGCATCACAAGGATATGAAACTTTTGTCATAATCTACGTGACATTAATTAATCAACATGGTTCCCGGTCCAAATTAGCCCAACTCGACCTACATGATGTCAAAAGTTAGACTCACTAATTAGACTTGCTTGCCCTCTAGTGTCTTGAGAATTGTGCTTTTAACGCTATGGTATAACTTGAAATTGTGCTTTTAACGTTATGGTACAATTTCAGCTTGTATTAGGGATGACAACTGGACGGGTTTGGTGTGAGTTTTTCTAAACCATCTCATCCCCACTTTCAAATATCCAAACTCATACCCACCCCATAACCATGCGGGGAAAGTTTTGCAAACCCTTCCTCATACCCGTGGGTTTCAGGTATACATGTGAAATACCCGCCTCGTACATCTAACATTATAATACCTAAAATTTTACATGTGAATTTTAAATTATAACATTAAACACACCTACTATATCATAAGTCGACAAAAGAGACAATCATTCTTAATACGGTTCAAAGAATGTTATACTAAAAGATTCATTAATCCATAAGATAGAGTATAATGCAATATGAATTATTATTCTCTGACTCTACTACATCTACTAACTAACGTGATCTTGTTAACACGAGAGAAAAAGTAAAAGAGTGAATGGAGAGTTGAAGAAAATGAATTAGGTTTTGATTTGGGTGGACACTCAATTGCATTTCTACTTATTTATTTTCTTAAGTTTTCCTCATTATCATTAATAGGTTACAATTTGATCAATGTATTTTTTATATGTGAATAAATGCTCTTAGTGGGGCGGGTATGGGTATGAGTTTGGGCGGGGGAGACTAAAACCATACACACCCCATATACCCATCAAAAGTTTTGCGGGTTTTTCCCATGCACGTCCAGCAGTCCCACACCCAGTCAATGTGTGGATTCCCCACGTTGGCTGGGTCGGGAGCGGTCGTGTACCCGCGGTCATGGGTTCAATTGTCATCCCTAGGTTGTACCTATACTCTTTTTGTATAAATATCTTTTTGGTACAAACTAAAGTTGTACATTTATGTAATGGTACAATTGAAAGTTGTATCATAACATAAAGGTTCAAATTCCCTTATGGTACAACTTCAATTTGTACATCCAAGCTTTATTTTAAGGGTTCGTTTGTTTGAGTAATTTGTATGAGTCGTTTGCTAAAAAAAAATGTATAAGTCATTCCATCCATACAAAAGTCTCAAATGACTCTATCTAGTCATTTCTAAATAACTCATTATTTAGTCTAAAATTTTCAACTATGTCCTTACGACCTTACCTATTTAATGTTAGCCCACTTCTATCCTTCTCTTTATAGTATTTATTTTCTATGTTATTGCTTTGTCTCCTCTCCAAATTGATCTTTTTTTTATTTTCCCCGAATTTCACAAGCGACGAAGAGGGTCATCTACGCAGTGGTGCATCTTTTTAGTTCACAAATACCAGTATTTGTAATTAGTATAAAATTTGAGACTTATGGAGGAATTATCTTTTTAGTTCACAAATACCACTATTCATAAAGAAAGTTAACATATAATTATTATTTAAAATTAAAAAGTAGTATTATACATGGCAAACACCTAAATAATATGTTTTGTTGGTTGCAAAATGATTTTGGTTGGGTTTAGAATATGAAACAAGATATGTGTCGACATAAAACTCTGCAGCATACTTCAAAACTAGAGGTGACAATTGGATTGGATACATGAATTGATGGATTGGATTGGTATATCCATGGATTAAGTTGTTTGGATCAAATGGATTGATGGATTCATGGATTGAATCAAGTGAATTTGGTATCTATGAATTCAAATGACATCCAAGTCTTTGACCAAATTCTAGATTTGAAAAGTTTGTGGTACTAAAATGACATAGTAAAAAAATTTAGGTATCAAACGTAATTTTTCAATGATATTTTTCGTATAAAAAATAAATTTTGAATACCAAAATTTTAAATATAAAAAGTATAGGTACTAAACCGTAATTTATCATTGGAACCATGAATCAATTCATGAATCCACCAATCTAAATGGATTTTGATCAAATAGATTGAATTAATTGGATATTTTAGTTAATAGATTGGATTGAAAATTGTCCAACTCTATTCAAAACCAACCACACCCACATGAACGATAACTCAATCGCCTAACCGAGACATCGCCCAAGAACTCCATCAGATAAACTAACTAAGTAGAGAAACTCTCATCAACTCCATCAGCTAAACCAACCACGCAGAGAAACTCTCCATCAGCCTTATGATTTTGCGCAATGGCGCGCTAAAGAACACAAATCAGAACGGGATTCCAAATACCAACTTATTAATCATTTCTCCATAAAAAGAACTGCATTTCCAATTTCCCCCCATCTCTTATTCCACAATGCGGATGCTGAATTGAATCGAAGTACTATAACTTGGAAGAACCCTTCTTCGAGCCGCGGGCAGCGATGAACTCTTGCATCTTCTTGAATTGCTCCTTCGTCATCCCGTCGTAGTAGCTGTGCGCCCTTTCCTGATGATCTCATTTCACATCGTCCCAGTTACTACCAGCTTTACAACACCAACGCACACAAAAAAAACTCAAGGAGACAACTACACATAAATGGTCACTAAACTTTAGGGCTGGCCATATTACCTTCTCGAGAGAGAGAGCAGAGCCTAGGTCCAGCTTCAGCCCGTCGTTGATCACGGCTTTGTACCTCAACACCAAGTCCTGATTGTTCTTAAGGATGGCTTCTGCGATTTGCCGGGCTTTCCTCAATGCTTCGCCTTCTTCCACGACGTGGGTGACCAGCCCCCATTTCTCCGCCTGCTCCGCCGTGATTGGCATTGCTGTCAGCGATGCTTCACGGGCTCTGTTCGCCCCTGCTAGCCGCGACAGCTTCTGGGAAAGACCCCATGAAGGAAATATCCCAAACCTTAATAAAACCACACAAACAAAGCATAATTAGGGTAAACAAGTACAGCACATAGAGGTCTCCAACCAAAGAATACTACAGCAGACCAAATCACTATCTGCATTGGACCGGACTTATGCAAAGTCGGATTCGTTTCGATTGTCAATTAAAATCGACCAAATCGATGACAGTCCAGACCAGATCGTATCGAATGCCTTATTGGTCTGGTTCTGATAGTCATCTGTCATTTCATTATCGATCTGATTCCAAACAGGATTGTATCATGCCATCCCTGTTAGCATCTAAGGCCACAAATCGGATCAAATCAACGTTTGGACGAAACCGGATCATATCAAAGTATAATTCGGTTCAATCTCCGTTGCGAAATTCAATGTTTTTCCTCGGTTTATCCCCAGATGAAACCAGTTTGGTGCCAACTCAAACCACTGAACTTCCTCTCATATGAGGAAAGATTGCCATTACCGTTATAAACGTTTCCTCATGACATGGTCCCCGCCGAAATTACGGCGGTCAGTTCCAAATTTGGAAAGATTAAAACGCTAAGGAGTTCTCCACCTAATCAACCAAAATTGACCAATTCACCGTCCAAGAAAAAAAAAATTTGAGAGGGAGAGCTAATAAATCACCTGGCGTGAGTATCCATGAACATAGCTCCTTTGGAAGCGACCAAGATATCGCAAGCGAGCGCGATCTCGAACCCGCCGGTGACGGCGAACCCGTTGACCGCCCCGATGATCGGCTTCCGGCACCGCTCCATCTGCGCGACCAGGTCGGTCTCCACGTCCTTCACGTCGCCCTTGAAGACGTCCTCCGCCGCCGTCAGATCGATGCCAGAGCAGAACGCCCGGCCCGACCCGGTCAGGATGATGACCTTGGTGGATTCATCGCGGCCGAGGGCGCTGAACTCCCTTGCGAGGCGGACCAGCATGGCCCGGGTGAGCGAATTCAGCGATTTCGGTCGGTTGATCGTGATCGTGACTATTCCGTTCGGGTCGCCGGCGACCAGGATTGAATCTGCGGGATCCATTTCGTGCCGATTCTTTCAGAAGGAAGGAATGTATGGATTTGGGAAAGAAATGGTTAGTTGAACCGCTGAGACTCGGAGTACTGTAATCTTCCTTTAAAGTGGAAATTGGGCGTCGGGAAGCGTGCGAGATAAGGATTGTTTGTTGAAGCTGCCGTTTTTTGTCGCTTTCCTATGCGTTTTGTACGCTCGAGCCCGGATTAACAAGCACGACTGCGACCCATGGTCCATGAAACCGTACCGGAGACCGTATCGGCAAAGTCAGCGGTATGGTATTTTATGGTAAAACCGTGGTTTAACCGTAGTTCAACCGTTAGTACCGTTAATATCGCCTACCGGTTTAGCCTCCGATACTGGTATTTTGTGGTTGAAACGTCGGTAGGGTACGGTTTCATGGACCATGCTGCGACCTCACCCACGCCGTGGAAGTTGGAACGGTAAAAATGCTATAATGATTCCTAATACAATGGCGATGTGACAAACTGACCACCAAATAATGTTTCCTATTAAATTGGTCATTTTATTTTTAGTCAACTCGTCAGCATCAGTAAAGGGACCCAACTGTCTGATTTTCACGTAACAAGGAAGTCCAGGCCCAGGCGGTGAACAAAAATTTCGGGCAATTCGACAACGGAGCAAGCAACGAACCCGGGGCATGTTACCCGGAGCTTGGCCCATCAATTTGTTGACTTGATGGGCTTTCATCCTAGTCAGCCCGCATAGCAGTTAATGGGTCTTTTCAGCTCAATTAACATTTTGAACCAATTGGAAAGGTGCAATTTGGTGGTTAATGTTAATCTCATACTCTTTTAATCATGCAATTAGACCTGCGCAGTCGGATTGGGTAATTTCGGGTTGGGGACTCCGGTTACGGGTCGGGTCATGTTTGGTTGGCTAATTTCAGGTCAAATATTGACCCAACCTATTCAGTTTGGGTCGGGTTACAGGTCGTTTCGAGTTATGAGCGCTCTCAGAAACAATATGAAACATGCTTCATATTTTCTTAAAGAACACAAAGTTTCGCATATGCATGACAATAGTTTACCTAACACATGTCAATTAACATATACTCAAATCCTCCCACGCTAATGAAATGAAATACAAATTGAGCAAATTGTCAAAAAACTTTCACAAGAGTAATATAACTACAAGAAACACATGATATTTGATTACCCTTAAACTCCAAACATGTCATTCAAATCCTTGTGATTTTTTTAAACATCTCACCAATTCATGAGTGACTATCATTTTGGAGTGATATATAAAATGGAACGGGTCTAACAGGTCGACCCGCTAACCCACCCAACCCGACCCAAAAATGACAAGTTATCGGGTTCGGGTCATTCAGATTTTGGGTTATAAAAATTTCTACTTTTCAGGCGGTTTCGGGTCGGGTCAACGGGTCGGGTTGTAATTTGCCAGGTCTACATGCAATCAGACGTTTGCCCCTTATTTATGGAAAGGTAGCTTACAATGTGGCTTACCCTCAATCGTTACATTATATATTATCAATGTAGTTAAAATAGCGCTTAAAAGTTTAAAAGGTTACGTTAACGCTTCTAGGTCAACAAAGCGCTTATATGCAGACTCGCGCTTTTCCCTTATTAATATAGTCAAAATCGCGCTTTAAATCTTACAATCATACACTTTTATGCTTCTATGTCACCAAAACACTTCTACATAGAATAACGCTTTTGACTGCATTGCGTACGACTAGTAGTAGCGAGAAAGATTAGACTTTTGGTTATAGGCATTAAAAAACCTGCAATGAGTTTGTATAAAGTTATATCGGAATATACATTTCTTCTAATAATATCAATAAATCATGCCTTTCAAACCCCATTTGCAACTTAGACAAGTTCATAGTTCATAGAATCACATGAGCAAAGATTAATGTCCAATAAGTTGAAATAGTCCTCAAATTGCCACTTTGGTTGGAAGTTTGAGATTACTTGAGTGTTACAGTTAGCCGTGAGAAAAATTGGCTAATCTCAAATGACAAGATGAGCTAGATTTGCACCGCTCTTCCCTTTCGTGAGACACTGCTTATGGATACAATTGTAGTGCATACTTCATACACTAATTTTCATGACAAATTGAAATATTACTTTTTTCTTCTCACTATTTGAGGGATGCCCTCTTCCTCTAATCTAACTCATCATTCATCCAACAGAAAGTACTATACAATCACTCATAATTTGCACCATTTCCCACTTGGTTAATGTGGTAAAACAATTTGCAATAGGGGGGAAATCACATTTGCTTTAGCTTGGAAGAGTTAAACGTCTATAAAAGCGACTTGGGCCGACTAGGGGAGCTAAAACTATGTATGCTGCCTTTGGGGAAAGGGACGTTGCCATCACATGAGGAAACCCCAAAAGAACAAACAAAGAACCCCATTATTCAATCCTGTCTCAGGCAAACAACAAAAGAGGGATATATCATGTCCTTTCTCCAATACTGCCACAGGACATTGCCAATTACCAGAATATGATATCTGCTTCCAACTACCAGCAACCATGGAATCATAAAAAGGACTGAACAACATGTGGCATCTTTGAAAGAAATTCGATTTTCACGTGGTGGAAATTGGATATTTAAAGAAACTGAATTGCTATTTATAGCCCTAGCTTTTTCTTATTTATAGCCCTAAGAGAATGTAATTACTATTTTACCCTTCCTTCCTTTTAAAATATTGAACTTGTTACAACTCCAACCAAACACTCCCTTCCCTACCAATTCACCTCGCCGGATTCCTCCCAGATTCCTCCCAAATATTCTCTCCGGCGACGACGAGCTCTCGCCGGCGACGACGAGCTCTCGCCGGAGACGTGACTCGCCCCATCTCTCCTGTCGCCGGTTTCCTCTCAAATACGACGACCACCTCTCGCCGGAGACGACGACCTCTCGCCGGAGACGAAATCAGAGCGCTTCGCGAAGGTAATTTTTAATTTTTGCACGAAGGAGGTGACGACCGGCCGTTTGACCCGCCGCCGGCAAGGGCGACGTCCTGCCCAGACGTCGCCCTCGCCGGTGGCGAGTCAATTTTTTTTTTTAAATTTAGGTTATTTATTTATTATAATTATTATGATTTAATGTAGGTTAATTATATAATTTAAAAAATTACTCTAATTATATCCTTTAATTATGTAGGTTAATTATATGCTTTAATTATTATGATTTAATGTAGGTTAATTACTCTAATTATCTGTTTAAATTATGTATGTTAATTATCTTCTTTAAATATGTTAATATTTAATATATACGAAAATTATGTCGGTTAATGTTTTCATTTAATTGAAATTAGATAGGAAAGGTAAATTGTAATTGATAAATATAAGAAAGTTTAATAATTTAAATATAGAATTTTATTTCATAGTAAGTATTAATTGTTGTACGAACCTTAAATTGCAATTGACAATTTAAGCAAGAAAATTAAGTTAGAATTCATCGTGAAATACATTACAATTTTGAACATTATATTGTGATGGGAATTTTATTGTAATTGAAATTATATACGAATGTTAAATTATAATAGACAATTTAAGCAAGAAAATTAAGTTAGAATTCATCGTGAAATACATTACAATTTTGAACATTATATTGTGATGGGAATTTTATTGTAATTGAAATTATATACGAATGTTAAATTATAATAGACAAATATACGAACCTTGAACATTTGAATATAAAAATTTATTATATGAGAACTAACAATTATCATATGAACATTGCTAATAACTATTACATGATGATAATAATCTGACAATAATTTTAATTCAAATTTTAATAGGTAGAAAATGGTGGATACAAGAGGAAAGAAGAAGTTGAAGGAGGTAGAGCCGTCGAGGGTGACCAACCGTATAGTATTGAGGTCGCGTCGTGAGGAAGCCGAGAATGAGCGTCGACGTGCTAGACTTGTGGAGAATCCTTCTCCCCCGCCTCCCGTGCCTTTTGACTTAGATACAGCTTTTGAGGGAGTGGATGAGTATGATGGCAGTGATGACAATTATGATGACTTCCCGCATGTAAATGATGCTTTCTTCGAGAGCAACCATCCGAGTGCAGGTGGTTCTAGTGGACCTAAATTATTGTAATTAGCACATTTAGCATGATTAACTACCAAATCCTAATATTTCAATATGCAATAAAAAGTTTTTAACAAGTAGACACGTACTCATTAAATTATCAACAACACAACGTTGTTAACAATTATTCAATATTTGAACATTAACTAATCCAATACATTTTCAATAAAAAATTAGCACATTTAACATGATTAACTACCAAATCCTAATATTTCAACATGCAACAAGTAGACACGTACTAATTAAATTATCAACAAGATAGTAAAATCAATAATTCAACATTTTTCAAACAATATGTATCATTGTAAAGCAAATATTTAAGCATATTATCAATTACTAGACTTCATCATAACAATAAATAATTCAACATGATTCCAAAATTAAAAAGTTTAACTCACTAACCGTGTTACTCATTATCTGATGTAGTGATATCCGGAAGTCCGAACTTGACCAACTTCAAGAAATACATACAAAAAAAATAGTTTCAGTAATACTAACATAGTTTCAAAATATAAAAAAATGAAATTCAAGAAATTCATTCTAAAAATAATATTATAGCAAATCCATCCTAAAAAATATGATAATTACAATATCATAAAATAATAAACTACAATAAAATCGCTAAATATTCTTCAAAGTCTAAATTATTGTTAGTAAACATTAACTTAGTTTCAAAATAATAAAAAATGAAGTTAAAGAACTTCATTCTACAAATAATATTATAAAAAATCCTACTAAAAATATGGTAATTACAATATTCATAAAATAATAAATTACAATAATAAAAACACTACATATTCTTAAAATATGGCAATTAAAAGTCTAAATTCAGGAAACATTAACTTAGTTTCGAAATATGAAAAATAAAAATTCAATAACTTCATTTTAAAAATAATATTAGAACAAATTTTTCTAAACAATATGATAATTAAAAAATCTAAAATAATAACCGAAAATCTAAATTAATATATTTTAAAAATCTAATATACTTCACAAATTTAAATTAACAAAAAATTAAAAATAAAATAATTCGCCGGCGACGTCCCGGCAGGACGTTCGTCCGTCGCCGGCGACGTCCCGGCCGGACGTTCGTCCGTCGTTGTCGGGTTATTTGCCGACGTACCTCGTCGGAGA